AAGGAGGTTTTACTGCTTCGCGTGGTTTGCCGTGGTAGTATAGGGTGATGCTGTAATATTCCTGTGGTCTTGCCTTGGCAAAAGAAAAATCTAGCCAATAGACATTTCCTTCTCTGGTAAAATTGATTTTAGAATTGTCTGCCAATTGTACAGAATACAAAATCATCGGCTCCTGTAAATCGATTTGCATTGAATCTCTTTCTTTGCCCAATACCTTAAATTGAATGGTATTGGAACCACTAATCGCTCTAGCTGCGGTATCAATGCTGAATTCAAGCTTATAATGTTGCACATCCCACCAATCTCTACCTCGGCCATTGCTGCCGCGCAAAGTATCTTGACGGTTAAAAGCAAACAGGGCATTTGCGCTAAGCAAACACCCTGTCAGTATCGTTATCAGTTTTACTGAAAAATTCATAAATAGTAATTAGTGGTTATGACCATCGCCAGGACCATGTTCTTGAGGGGCTTCTCCAGCTTCGATATTAGTTACTTCAACATCAAAAATCAAAATACCATTTTTTGGTATTTCAGGACTTGGGCTACGCTCGCCATAAGCCATTGGGCTAGGGATAAACAAAGTAGCTTTTGAACCTTTTTGTAGCAATGAAACGCCAATATCCCAACCTGGAATCACTTGACCTTGACCTAGTGTAAAACTAAAGGGTTGCACATGATTGAATGCTGAATCGACATTAGAGTCAAATTTTTTGCCTTCAATTGTTTTACCAGTATAGTTTACCGTTACTTTTTGACCTGCACGAGCTGTATCACCAGTTCCTGTTTTAATCATTTTGTAAACCAATCCAGTAGGATGTTTTTTTGTACCGCTAATGTTATTCGCTTTAACGTATTTAGCTATTGCAGTAGAATCGGCCATCATTTGCGCTTTAGCTTTTTGGGCTTTTTCTTTAAAGGCATCAGCTTGTTTTTTCTGCTTTACTACTACTACATCTTGGTCAAACCACCAGCCAGCTCCTTTTTTCATCCAAGGTAGTTCTGGTGCGCCGAGTTTAAGAATACTATCTAAAGGCATACGGAATGTAGCACTATCCCCTTCGCTCAATAACTGAAAACCTTCCATTAGGTCATATCGTGGTTGCTGAGGTGGGCGAACTTGTAATTCAAAAGCTTCATTGTTGTTGGCTTGTCTTGAACTAAACAAAATGCTATCCCCAACACGTGCTTGAGTGTGCAAGGTGATAAAATCACCAACAGTTGGAGGAGTGCCTTTAGCATCTTTCCATATTCTCATCAAAAGACCATTGCTTACTTCTGTCCAACCATTAACGGTTTTGCCAGTAGTAACGGGTTGAGCGATAAAATTTTGTTGTTGTCCCTTAGGATTTTGAGCGAATGCGCTGCTGTATAGAGCAAGGCAGGCGACAGAAAATACGAGCGTTTTTTTCATTGAAATGGTGTTTTTTATTTTTGTTCTATGATCAATTTAGCGTTTGACTTATTTAAAATCTAAAAGTTCAACGTCGAAAATTAAAATTGAGTTACTAGGTATTTTAGGACTCGGACTTTGAGCACCGTATGCTAAGTAACTCGGAATGTACAATACTGCTTTTGCTCCTTTATTGAGTAATGCAAGTCCTTCATCCCAACCTGCAATAACCATTTGCTTACCTAAGGTAAACGAAAAGGTTTGAACATGCTGAAACTGAGGGTCTGTATTAGAGTCAAAAACAGTACCATCAAGTAATTTACCAGTATAGTTAACACTGACTTCTTTTCCTGCTTCGGGCGTGGCACCAACACCGTTTTTGCTAATGGCATAGTATAGTCCTGAAGCGGTTTTTTTAGCTTTTATATTGTTTTTGGCAAAATAGGCTAAAAGTGTTTTTTCGTCTTGAATTTTACTTTTTTCGGAACTAGCTTTCAAATTTGCTTGATATTCCTCTTGTGTCATTACTGATTTCAGCGCAAATTGAAATTCAAATTTGTCATTTGCCTTTGCAAATGGGAAATTGACACGTGCAGTAGAATCTAACTCAGCATGAATAACAACACTATCACCGGGAGACATCATCTTGATAACCTCAGTTGGGTCCATTGATTTGTTGGCCTGAGGGTTTTCTTGAAAAAGTAATTCCATGGCTTTGTCGCCTTTACTTTCTTTTATCGCAAAAAGGGTACTATCCCCAATTTTAACGACCATAAAGTAGCTGATGTAATTGCTGAATTTTGCTGTTGCTCCAGGTTTGTCTTTCCAAAAGGTGTAGGAAATGCCTTCTGGCGTTTTTTGAACTTTACCAATGGGTTGTGCAGCGTTTTGCGCAGTAGCAATGGTATAAGAAAAACCGAAAATCAACAAGAAATTGATAGATTTTATCATGTAGTGTAGGTGTTTTTATTTAAAATCAAGAAGTTCAA